AAGATCTAATCCCACATGCTTAATGCTAAGATTAACAATTAAATCTCCTAATCCAGAAGATATCTACATAAATCTATACTTAAGCATCCCTATAAACTAAGATTCCTCATTACCTAACCCATCCTCAAAACTCAGAAAAACTACTCAGATCTGGAGTTCATCATGAAGAACATAAACCCACAAATCTTCGAAGAATGATCTAAGTAGCAACATATTATAAAGAAGCAACTCCAAATACTCAATAGATCAAAAGTTATAAAGATTACAAATTTCCGGAAATGTTTGGTGGCTACAGAGAAAAACCCTAATTAAACTCGATTTTTGGCTTAATGACCCAATACTAAAGACATAAAGTCCTAAAACACAAGAAGACAAATTACAAAGTCGGTTTGAAGAGAGCTCGTTCGGGTTCATGTTGGGCTCGTTCGGGTCCTCTCTCGGCTCGTCTGAGTCCAGCTTCCTCCTCTGAGTCCAGCTTCCTCCTCTGAGTCCGGGTGCTTGATCGTGCTCGCCTTGGTCGGGTTGGATACACTTGATCTGGTCCATGCTTTGTAGTGTTCGAGTGTGCCTGTTTTTGCTCTAAAATGCAGATGATATGCAAATGCCTATGCTAAAGATCCTAGATGTGAAATATAATCAAAAGAGACTACAAATCCTAGAAGTAGAGATCTAGACATGCAAATAATGCACAAAACATATGCTTAAAAGTATAAAAATATAGGGTTATCACATGCAAATAATGCACAAAACATATGCTTAAAAGTATAAAAATATAGGGTTATCAGCATCAGCCATTTTTCATGCATCTCTAGCACTTGTAATCAATCAAATTCATTGTATTATAACATATTCTAACCCAAAAGAACTCAAGACAAGCCATTTACTACTTCAAAGGAATGGTTGTGGGTTCTTATCCAATTTGGGACCAAATTTCAACAAGTCTTTCTTCACACTTTTAAACATTCTTCATGCATTCCTAGCACTTTTAATCAATCAAATTTATTGTATTATAACATATTATAACTCAACAAAACTCTAGACAAGCCATTTACTACCTCAAAGCAATGGCTGTGGGTTCTTATCCCATTTGGGACCAAATTTCAACAAGTCTTTCTTCACACTTCTAAACATTCTTCATGCATCTCTAGCACTTGTAATCAATCAAATTCATTGTATTATAACATATTCTAACCCTAAAAAACTATAGACAAGCCATTTACTGTCTCAAACCAAAGGTTGTGAGTTCTTATCCCATTTGGGACCAATCAACAAGTCTTTCTTCACACTTCTAAGCATTCTTCATGCATCTCTTATAAGTAGCTATCATCATTGTATTATTACCTAGGTGATCTATCTATGTTATAATACAATGAATTTGATTGATTACAAGTGCTAGAGATGCATGAAGAATTTTAGGAGTGTGAAAAAGGCTTGTTGAGACTAACGCAATTTCCTATAACATAAATGAAGTACGCGCAAGCCAAATCTAAACGGAAGAGCCTCGTACGAGTCGATTGTCTACCTACTCGATGAGATCCTTCTTCTACACTTGGTCGATTTCAGCCAGTTTTGCTCCTTTTCCCTCTGGTAAACACCTGTTTATGTACAAAAACTATAATGCATGCAATGCAAAGCCTAAACTCTACAAGTGAAGCAAAACAAAGGAAATATGAGAAAAACAATGCATAAAACTAGTGATAAAATAAGAAAAATCCAGACACATCACTTTGGTTCCGAAGTTTGTGGGCGTCCATCCTTTATATAGGACGTCAATGGGTGTTCCATGAAAGGACACGCCCATTCCATGCACCCTTTCGAAAGGTTGCATCCCTTCGAGGAGTTGCACCCCTTCTGATCACAATCCTACAAGCTACCGAGCTACCACAGTCTACCAGCTCGAGTATCAGTTGCCCTGTTCATCCAGCTGGGTTAGTACTCAAATAGTTCATTGAGCTCGGTTGAGCTGTAGGCCAGCGCACAAAACTGAGCTAGCTAGTCTTCCAGCTAGTGTAGCTCACTTCAACTGACCTAGCTTCCTAACTCGTTTAACTTGCCTTCTAGCTGGTTGAGCTAGTAGTTTAGCTACTTAAGCTCATCTAGCTATCACTTTCCTTCAAAACAATTGCCGCCCTTTCATAATTTTGGGACGCGGGCGTTACAAGTCTACCCCCCTTAAAGTGAATTCGTCCTCGAATTCGGTGGGTGTAGAGATTCCCGCCTTTTGCATACTAAGACTTTATCTATTTCTAATCTTTATCTATTCGGAATTTGGTTTTCTATAACAAATTTATGTCCTTTAGCCGCGATCATTATCCCATGATCTTGGGTCAGTTTTTCAATAGATCAAGTCTCTCCTTATCCTTGTTTGTTTCCGGCTAGGACAATATCAATATCTTAGTCCTATCCAACCTTAATTATTTACTGACCTTTAGGTTTTCCAACCTTGGTCGATATTTCTCCCGACCTTTAGGTCTTCCCCGACCATTTGGTCATATTTCTCCCGAGCTTTAGGTCTTCCCTGACCATTAGGTCATTATTTCTCCCGACCTTTAGGTTCTTTCGACCTTGGTCGATAGTTCTTCCGACCTTTAGGTTTTTTAAACCATTTGGTCGGTATTTCTCTTGACTTTTAGGTCTTTTCCGACCATTTGGTCGGTATTTCTCCCAACCTTTAGGTCTTTTCCGACCATTTAGTCGGTATTTCTCCTGACCTTTAGGTCTTCCCCAACCATTTTTCGATATGCTTTGTGTTTGACGGTTTGAACAATTGCTCAAAGCATGAGAGCATCTTTGCAAACACTTTCCAGTTCCCAAGCATGTTTTCAGTCTGATCAGAGATTTCCCTTTCTCGCTCGATCACAAAGAATAATTGCATAACTCCTCCCAGAATCGTGAATGCTCTGATACCAACTTAAAAGATCCCCACCCTAGACGTCTCAGTCTCCGACGGAAAAGGGTATTTGTTCGGCCTCGTTTGTGGCCGAACAACCAAGATTTGTCTTGTTTTCTTAGCTTTGGCTCACGGCCTTGCTTTGTAAACCCATGTACGCAACGAAATAGTTTTACCTTGACCCATGATAAGTCTGTATTTAATCACTTTTTGAGCATGTATTTATCATCATTCACTTGTTGATTCGCATCATATTGATCACTTTCTTCATGTTTTACATACTTAGGGAGGTTTTATGCATATCATGCATGTTTTGCGTATATTTTGCATATTTGGAGTGTTTTCAGGTACTTAGGAGACTTGTAGAGACTAGCAAAGGAGCATATATCACCCGACATACATATGATCAAGCATGATAATCGAGTGAGGCTATCGAGTAGGAGAAAGTGATGCAAATAAGGAGGACAAGCAACTCAATCAACATGATCGTGTTAGCTCGAGTAAACGGATGCAAAATTATGTCACTCGACCAGCTACTCGATGCGCGTGATCGCGTCGAGCAATCAAGGAAACATAAGTAGTCGTGTGCCACTCGGCGTGACTACTTGAGGAGGACAACCGAGTGAGACGATCGAGTAAGCTAGAATGAAAAGCAACATAAATACACGTCACTCGAGGTGCTCACTCGAGGTTCTCACTCGAGATGCTCACTCGAGATGCTCACTCGACCAACAGAGTCACTACAACCTTTAAACCACTTTTTACATTGTTGTTTTATGTTTTAAGTTTTTCCGAAACATTGATATAAATAGGTCTCTTTTGGCATTGCCCAGGGGATCGAGTTTTTATTCTTAGGTTTTTATTGTTTGCCACCAAAAAATCCAGAAAATTGTAATTCAGATTTTTTTAAAGTTATTAAGATTTTGCACTTAGTTCTTGAATCATTATTGTTTATCTTCCTGTCATCGTTATCATTATGCATGTTTTGAACGATTCTGGTTTTATGATGTTTAACATGATTTTGTGTCTGGATAGTGTTAGGGTTCTTGAGGATGGGAAAGATTAGGTGGAGAATGTTAGTTTGTTAGAGTGTTTAAGTTAAATTCGTTTGTTCCCTTTTGGATTAGAGTATTCATAGCTAATTCTTCTATGATCAATTGGAATTAGATCCCAGAAATTTCAGCACCTACCAAGTGTTTGATGAAATGTCTGAACAACTAATACCAGAGATACGCTTGCTTAGCCTAAGAGATTAGATGTCTAAAAAGTTTATTGACATTAATGGACTATTTCTTCATGCATGTTTACTTCATGTTTCATGAAAGAGATTTGAGATTAGGAAGTGTTGTAAACATGATAGTTTCTGCCATGAGATTGGATTAACTAGTATTTGATGTTCGTTGTCTAGGGATTGGTATGTTTGTCGTTTGTTAAACACTCGAAGTAGATTAGCATACTCCACCTACATCAATAACCTCATCCTCAGGATCTTCTATCCATTTGTGCTTTCTGTTTTATTCACTTGCTATTTACTTATTTTGTTCTATCCTCTTCCTAGTATTGATAATTATTACGTTTTAGCTTATGCATGATAGTCTATATTTTGCAGCCTCACATTTATCGCATGTTTACCATGTTCGCTTAGGATCATTGAAAACCAAAATCATTTATACTTCGCTTGACTTAATCATTTCTGATATATCTTAATTGCTAGCATCGCACCTAATTGGATTGATACTTATTGTACTGCAATGACATGATAGTACTCTAGGGTAATTGGTAGTAAAAACCTATTATAAATTTGGTGCCGCTGCCATTTGGGTGTTTGTTTGTTACATTTGAGATTTCAGACTTGCTGAGATCAAGTTGTTACTCAACATTCACTACAGTTACTCACTCTGTTCCTTTTGCTTGTCTATTGATTCAGGTACAACTCTTGCTTAACAGCTCCTACTTGACTGACACACTCAACTGTGTTGCGAGCTAAGTTGATTTGAGTTGTATGCACACACGGTCGCAAGGCACAGAAAACTTGTTCCAACCCTCCGATTTTATTGATCGTCTGGTACCTACATCAAGACAGCAACGCAACAGAGTTACACCACAACAAATGGAGATGGAAAACCATGAACAACCACCTCCACCACGGGCACCTACACGGATTGGAGTTGATGATGCTCCAAGCAACCATACCCATCGTCAGGGTATAGTGCCTCGAGCTGTGCAGAACAACTACTTTGAAATCAAGAGTGGTCTGATCTCCATTGTCCAGCAGAATAAATTTCATGGTCTGCCTATGGAAGACCCCTTAGATCATCTCGATGAGTTTGATCGTCTATGCAGTCTCACCAAGATCAATGGGGTCAGTGAGGACGGTTTCAAGCTACATCTATTTCCATTCTCTCTGGGTGACAAAGCTCATCAATAGGAGAAAACTCTTCCTCCAGGATCTATCACTTCCGGGGATCAATGCAGCAGTCGTTTCTTGCCAAGTTTTTCTCCAACTCCAGAACTGCACGTCTGCGCAATGAGATCTCTGGGTTCACTCAGAAGAATGGTGAAACGCTTTGTGAAGTCTGGGAGCGCTTCAAAAGTAATCAGTCTCAGTGCCCCCACCATGGCTTCACCAAGGAGTCTCTCCTCAGTACTCTTTACCGGGGAGTTCTCCCAAAGATTCGGATGTTACTTGACACTGCCAGCAATGACAACTTTCTAAACAAGGACGTCGACGATGGTTGGGAGATTGTTGAGAACCTATCCCAGTCTGATGGCAACTACAACGAGGACTATGATAGAACCATCAGGGCAAGCACAAATCTTGATGAAATGTATAAGAAGGAGATGAAAGCTGTGAATGATAAGCTGAACAAACTCTTGATGAGCCAGCAGAGGAACATCCATTTCGTCTCTGAAGAAGATCCTTTCCAGATTCTGGATGGGGAGGGAGAACAATCTGAGGAGATAAGCTATGTCGAGAACCAAGGTGGATACAATAAGGGATACAATCCTTATAAGCAGAATCCCAATCTGTCTTAGAGGAGCACCAATGTTGCGAATCCCCAAGATCAGGTTTATCCACCTCCACAACAACAACAGCAGGGGCAAAACAAACCATTTGTTAGGCATGTAAATTAGGGTTAAAGCCCGCAGGATAGTTTGGCCCGGTCCTGAAAAACATCGGGCTCGGACTTAAATATAAATGTCCAGAAAAAACCGGGCCTTTTAGGCTAAGCCCATTCGGGCTAAAGGAATTTTTGGGCTTAGCCCGGTCGGGCTCGGGCCGGCCCGAAAAGCCATTAAACAAATATATTTTCAATTTTTTAATATTTTAGTTTGACTAAAAGATTTGATTGATGTTATAGTTTTCATATTTACTTACTAACCTTACTTATTACTTTTAAAATATTTATCTATAATAATTTCTCATATTTATATATGTCAGAACTGAACAAAGCTAAAACTAAATATATATATATAAGTATCATGATTTTTGAAATATAGGCTCGCAAATTTTTCGGGCCGGGCTCACGTATATGAGGGCTTTACGGGTTTCGGGCCGGGCTGACATGCCTACCATTTGTGTCCTACAACAAAGGTTATGTGCCCAAACAACAATTTCAGCAAGGTTACCAACCTCCAATAGGACCACCACCAGGATTCCAACCTCAACACGCTCCGCCTTCTCAGGCACCAGACCATGACATGAAAAACATGCTTCAGCAAATCCTCCAGGGACAAGCAAGTTTCTCCATGGACAATGCTAAGAAGTTTCCTGAGCTGACTCAGAGATTGGACTACTCATACAATGATCTGAATATGAAGATTGAGACTCTGAATTCCAAGATCAAGTATATGGAGGGCAAAACTGCTTCTACTTCTGCCCCAAAGCCTAGCCAGCTCCCAAGAAAAGCTGTTCAGAATCCTAAAGAGTTTGCTCATGCCATCACACTGAGGAGCGATAAAAACTTGCTTCCCAGACAAGGACATGTTGATGTCACTGAGGACAGTGAAGACTTGGAAGGGGAGGATGTATGTAAGAATGAAGACCCGAATGTTCATCTAAAAGAATCAGAAGCCTTACCTGAAGAAGCTCTTCAACCTGCTGAGAAACATACTGGGAAACATGCTCAAACACCAGCAGCCTCCAAGGATAATCCTACGAGATACGTTCCCCCACCATACAAACCACCTCTACCATTTCCCTGACGGTTCAAAAAGCAGCAAGCTGAGAAGTATAAAGCTTTATTTGAAAAGAAAGTGAAATTGATTGAGTTGAGAATGCCATTGCTGGATGCATTTGCACTTGTCCCCCCCTTATCAAAAGTTCCTCAAAGATTTGGTTATGGATAGAGAAAAAGAAGTCCAAGGCATGGTGATATTGAGTCATGAATGCAGTGCCATTATCTAGAAGAATATCACTCCCTTGAAGTTTAAGGATCCTAGATCCTTCACTCTACCCTGCTCACTAGGCCCTCTATCTTTCAGCAGGTGCCTATGTGATCTTAGAGCTTCAGTGAGTCTAATATTATTGTCTGTGGCTAAGCGTTTAGGATTCACAAGATACAAGGCATGCAACATATCTCTCATTCTAGCTGATAGATCAGTGAGGCTCCCGCATGGACTCTTGGAAGACTTGCCAATAAGGATTGGTGTTGTTAAAGTCCCTACATATTACGTTGTCTTGGAAATGGATGAAGAGCCTAAGGATCCCTTGATTCTTGGAAGGCCATTCTTAGCTACTGCAGGAGCTATCATTGATGTTAAGAAGGGAAAGATTGATCTATGCTTGGGAGAAGACTTCAAGATGACATTTGACATCAAGGAGTCCATGAAGAAACCAACGATCAATGGCAAGGTGTTCTGGATAGAGGAGATGGGTCAGTTAGCTGTTGAACTTTTAGAAAAACTTGTTGAGGAGGATCATCTCAAGACAGCCTTGACAAAGAATGGATCAGATGGGTTCCTTTATGCTGAGACCAAAGTCTACGACACATTGCTGGATACCTACAAGGCAACTGATGATTCATAAAGTTTTGAAGAATTGGATGAGTCTGACAAGGAGGTATGCGCAGTAGAGGAGGAAGTCAGTGGCAACCCGATCACTAACCCAACTGGTGACCTTATCAATGCGGCGGATGATGACTGGTCAGAGTTAAAAGCTCCCAAAGTTAAGCTCAAACCGCTACCCTCAGGACTGAGGTACATATTCCTTGGATCCAACTCTACTTATCCTGTCATTGTGAATGCTGGCTTGAATAATGAAGAATTAGAGTTGCTAGTCACTGAGCTTTAAAAATATAGAAGGGCCATGGGTTATTCTTTAGATGATATCAAGGGGATCTCACCTAGTCTCTGCATGCATATGATCAATTTGGAAAATGAATCATACATCAGTATTGAACCTCAAAGGAGATTGAATCCTAATATTAAAGAAGTTGTGAAAAAAGAAATTCTTAAATTGTTGAATGTTGGGGTTATGTATCCTATCTCTGATAGTACTTGGCTATCCCTAGTACATTGTGTATCTAAGAAGGGAGGAATTACAGTGATAAAAAATGACAAAGATGAATTGATCTCCACTAGGACTATCACTGGTCATAGGATGTGCAATGATTACAGAAAGCTAAATGCTGCATCTAACAAAGACCATTTTCCTCTCCCTTTCATTGATCAAATGTTAGAAAGATTAGCCAATCATCCCTACTACTGTTTTCTTGTTGGGTATAGTGGATTCTTCCAAATCCCTATCCACCCAAATGATCAGGAAAATACCACTTTCACTTGTCCTTATGGCACATTTGCCTACAGACGCATGTCTTTTGGTTTGTGTAATGCGCCTACAACATTTCAGAGGTGTATGACCTCAATATTCTCAGATTTGATAGAGGAGATGGTGGAGGTATTCATGGATGACTTTTCCGTGTATGGCTCCTCCTTCTCCTCATGTTTGTGAGGAGACAAGCCTAGTGCTCAACTAGGAGAAGTGCCACTTCATGGTAAATGAAGGGATAGTGTTGGACACAAGGTATCAAAGAAGGGGATTGAGGTTAATAAGACAAAGATTGAGGTTATGAGAACAGTTGCAGCCTCCCAAGACAGTCAAAGATATAGAGTTTTCTTGGGCATGCTGGGTTTTATAGAAGACTCATCAAGGACTTCTCAAAAATTGCAAGACCCCGTACAAGACTGCTTTGCAAGGAGGTCGAGTTTGTAGTTGATGAGAGCTGTCTAGAAACTTTCAATAAGATCAAGAGATAGTTAGTCTCAGCACCAATAGTCCAAGCTCCAGATTGGGATCATTGATAACCCTATATTTTTATATTCTTAAACATATGTTTTGTGCATTATTTGCATGACTAGGTCTCTACTTCTTAGGGTTTCTATTCCCTTAGCATTATATTTCGCATCTAGGATCTTTAGCATAGGGATTTGCATATCATCTGCATTTTAGAGTAAAAACAGGTACACTCAGACACTGTAAAGCATGGACCCGATCGAGTGTGTGCAGCCCGACCAAGCGAGCACGATCGAGCACCTGGACTCACAAGAGGAAGCTGAACACGGACGAGCCGAGAGAGGACCCGAACGAGGCCAACAAGCACCCGACCGAGCTCTCTTGAAACCGACTTTGTAATTTGTCTTTTTGTGTTTTAGGGCTTCCTGCCCTTTGTATAAATAGACACCTTGGGTCATTAAGCTAAAAACGAGTTTTTCATTAGGGTTTTTCTCTGTAGCCACCAAACATTTCCAGAAACTTGTAATCTTTATATCTTTTGATCTATTGAGAATTTGGAGTTGTTTCTTTACAATATCTTGCTCCTTAGATCATTATCTATTTAGTTATGCAAGATTCAAAGATTTCTGGGTTTGTGTTCTTCATGATGAACTCCAGATCTGAGTAGTCTTTCTAGGGTTTATAGGATGGGTTAGGTGATGAGGAATCTTAGTTTCTAGGGTTGCTTAAGTATAGATTTAGGTAGACACCTTCTGGATTAGGAGATCTTAATGCTATCTTAGCATTAACCATGTGGGATTAGATCTTAGACATTCCAGCACTCAAAAAGTGTTCAAATGGAATGTCTGACCAACTAATGCCAGAGATCTATTTACTTACCCAAGAGATTGGTTGTTAAGGAGTAGATTGACATTAATGAGCTTGTTCTTTATACCTATTTATAGTATGTTTCATCAATGAAAGTTGAGATTAGGAAGTGCTATAGATCTGATAATCTTTGCCAAGAGATTGGACTTATTAGGTTAAGTGGTTCATTGTCTAGGATTAGATCTATCTGAGCATGTTAAGCATCCCAAAGATACTAAGAGGATTCATCACCCCCATTAGCCCATCCTTAAGACCCTTTGTTTATCTGATTTGCTTTTACTTACTGCTTTCATTATTGCTTCTTTAAGTTTACTTTATTGCATTAGAGTTTATTAAACCAACCCTTGAATTACTTGGCTTGACTTGATTAGATCTGTTATATCTTGATTGTTTACAATACATCCATCTGGATCGATACCTCTTATGCTACATCGCAAAGGAGAATTGAACTTCAAGGGTACAAAAATACATGTTTCAATCATCCTTTTGAGATAAGGTGTGATGCCTCAGATTATGCAGAAGGGGCTGTGTTATGTCATCTAATATGCGAGCAGAACTCTTGATGAGACACAAAGGAGGTACGCTCTTGGCTGTAGTCTTTGCATTTGAGAAGTTTAGAAGTTACTTGGATGGATCAAACGTAGTGGTCTACACAGATTATGCTGCACTTAGACATATATACTCGAAGAAGGATACCAAGCGGAGACTGTTAGGATGTATACTTCTACTCCAGGAACTTGATATGGAGATTGTTGATAAGAAGGGCATAGAGAATGGTGTTGCAGATCACCTTTCCAGATTGAGGATAGAAGATCCAATCCCTATTGATGATTCCATGCTTGAAGAACATCTTATGATCGTTGAGATATGCAAGAAGATGCATCAAACAGGAATGGCTATGAAGGAGCTTCAATGTCTATCAGTCAATTCAGAGAGTATGCCTTGGTACGCAGATGTTGTGAACTACAAGGTCTGTGGAGAGATTCCTTCAGACATGGATCCTTATGGGAAAAAAAAGTTTTTCAGAGATGTCAACCACTACTTCTGGGATGAACCTTACTTGTACAAGAGGGGTTCAAATGGGTTGTTTAGGAGTGCTTGAGCACTGTTATGGATCCGCTTATGGAGGACACTTCGCCACATTCAAAACAGTTCAGAAGATTCTACAAGCAGGCCTTTGGTGGCCAACTTTTCCAAGTATACAAACAGTTTCATCACCAAGTATAACGCCTGCCAGAGGATGGGTAACATCAACAGAAGGAATGAGGTGTCTCATACCCCGATTTTGGAAGTAGAAATTTTTGATGCTTGGGGAATTGATTTCATTGGATCATTCAATCCTCCATCAAATGGCAATGTCTACATTTTGGTTCCAGTTGATTATGTCTCAAAATGGGTTGAAACCATTGCAAGTCCCACTAACGATCACAAGGTTGTTCTGAAACTATTCAAGAGCATCATCTTCTCTAGGTATGGAGTACCAAGAGCAGTGATAAGTGATGGTGGTACTCATTTCATCAACAAAGTCTTTGAGAGCATGTTGAAGAAATATGGTGTGAAGCACAAGGTGTCTACAGCCTACCATCCCCAGACCTGTGGACAAGTAAAGGTTTCTAACAAGCAGATAAAAGGAATTTTATCAAGAGTTGTTGGAGCTTCGAAGAAAGATTGGTCTACCAAGTTGGATGGTACTCTAGGGGCATACATGACAGCTTTTAAGACACCAATAGGAAGGACACCTTTTCAGTTGGTGTATGGTAAAACATGTCATCTCCCTATGGAGATTGAGTATAAGACGCTTTGGGCGATCAAGCTTCTGAAATTAGATATTGATGCAGCCCAAGCAAAGAGAGTTCTTGACATCCATGAACTTGAGGAAATCAGACTTGATGCTTTTGAAAGTTCCAAAAACTACAAGGAGAGAACCAAGGCTTTCCATGACAAGAGGATTTTTGTTGCTGGAGATCACGTCTTGCTGTTAAATTTTCAGACTTAATATGTTTCCTGGAAAGCTCAAGTCTAGATGGTCTGGACCGTTTCAAATCAAATATCTTTTGCCATTTGGTGCGATCACACTCCTGAACAAGGATGGCAGCGAGTTCAC